CATTAAAAACAACTAACCTGCTTCAAAGGAAACTGTTCATTACAAAATATTTTTTAAAAATGATTCAGAGAAATTTTAAGCCAGACACTTCTAATTACAATTGTAAAATATCAGCAGGTGAAACCTTCACTGAGGTTTGATATAATTCTAAGGAGCAATGCCAAGAAAAGATTTCACTCAGAGTTCAAAGCGAATATGTTTACTTACAGAGGTCCAGAAGCTTGGTACCCTCAATGAGTAAACACATTAGCAGCAATGACCAAAAGAAGTGTTACTTAAAGAGTAGTCTGGCTCAAGAACAGAGGTATAAAACTGGTCATTATTAAAGTTCAAGGTAAAAATAAGAAGGCTCATCATTTTAGAACAACTTTTCATCGTCAGAGGTTTGGAATCATGAGTCACAAATACCACAAACCTCCCAGATGCCACACAGAGATACTAAAAAGCCATTTGTGCCTCATTCAGGAGGTGTTTTCCTATCAGAGTCATCACTTAATGTAGGACAGATCATCGCTCTTCACTTTGTCGAGCTTCTCGAAAAACTTCACTTGTTGCCGAGCTATTTTTGAATCTCCTTTCAGCAGGTCTGAGCTCTGCTGTCCTTTGAAGGCCTGGGCTCCTTTTAACATTTAGTGTAGGTAGGTAAAAACCTGTCTTTTAAGACATAAGGTCAGAAGCACTTCCAAACCAGCACTTGACCTTCCTGAAATGACGATCTTGAGAAAGGGCATTTTATGGCAGCATTATCTGAGAACAGAGAACAAAAGACCCTTTGCATCGAAGCCCGTGGCTGCCCCACCCACCCTCACGGGCAGTTCAAAGGTTCCTCCCACGTTAGAAGTGGCTCCCTGAAATGTTCATTTCGTACCTTTTCCGTTATGGATTGTTTCTGAAGAAAGACTAATGATCAAAACCCATTTGCTCACGCTATTTTAAGGACAACTTTCAAACACGGGTAGTGACTCCGAACTGAAGTTTTCCTGCGTTCACCCGGGGCAGGAGCACTTACGGCTCACACCCCTGGCTCCCCGAAGCCCACCAACTCCAGAGGTTTAATGGTTCCTTCCCCGGGGAAAAATCTCTCTCCTGTGATCAGAACCATTACAAACCCATTTCCCAGTCTAATACCTCGCTTTCAGTGCTCTTCCACTCATATCAGGGAGCACGTCCCTGCTGGGCTAAATCACCATCCTGACTCATTTTTGGTGGAGAATTACAGATGGAGAACTCCCTGGGACACGACATCTGGGTTTCTAACAGTCTGCTTTTTCCCTTGCACAACAGATAGAGTATTATTTCCATGTTAGTCTTTTTACCACGATTAAAGACCTGTTTTCCTAAAAATCAGAGCATTTTCATCCTACAAGAAACATTTTTATCATACTCCGCTTATTAAAAAATAAAGCCACATCGTCGCTTTAGCTCTGAGAGCCACCTTTATGGGTACACCCCTTATCCTTTCCAATCTCTTAGCATTTCGGGGGAAACAGCATGTGCACAGGTACTGAAGTGCAGTTTGTGAGGGAGGTGAAGACACCAGCAGTGATGGGGAGATGGGAACCAACCCATGTTGGGACACCAAGTGTCTCTGGGAAGATACACCTCAGCGTTTCGCAGTCCTGATTATCAGCCCCTCTCCGATGAAGCCCACGGAATATTTCCTGTGTTGCACACATATTTTACACTTCATTTTGGCTTCAGAACTAAATCTCAGAGCTTCACCCAAAAAATAAACGGACTGGAACTACGCTGTGGATCCATGTGTGTGTGTGAGTCAACATTCCACGCGCAGTTTTAAAAGCCTGAATTGCCGTCACTAAAACACAGAAATATCGGCATTGCAGGGATTCCAGGAGCTTTTAGGACCACTCAAGTGCTGAAGAAAATCAACATGGGGAAATACGCAAACCGCTAATTGGCAATTGCATGAAATGCTATTAATTTACAAAAATTTAGATCCAATCAAACATAGCGAGTGTGAGAAAACCTTTCAGCTCTTTGAGGCTGCTGAGTAATTTAACTGATATAATTATTGCTTTCAACTTTAGTGGTCACTAAATGAGTATCTGACAAGGAACATCTTGAAACCAAAAGATATTTGGATATCATTATGTAACTTCTAGAAGCCAAAAGCTCAAAATAAATGGTTTTAAAACAGGCCACAAATAAGCAACACGCAAGTGACAGGGAAGAGCACGTATAATTTACTTCACACTGACAAGTTCTTACATTTTAGAATTACAGAGCCTGGTTTTTTTGTAGATGCAGTGATTTCAATACTGTTGCTTTCACGCACCCCAAGACCGCCAAGCCCAGCTTGAAAATGTACAAGTCTTCATTAGATAAAATCAAGGACTTAACTGAAAAAGTCTGTTACAAACTGCAGTGCTGATGTGATTCTTTTTTCATTTGTTTCTTTTTTGTTTCTTTTTTGGTTGTTTTTTTTTAAGCCCCATCCATATTAAGGACACCTCCCTGGACTAGGAAAACTCATTTTAGTACATATAAATTCATTTTCATAAAGTCAGAGCTTTCAGTGGCATAATCTTATTTAATTATAAAGCATGACATTTCAATAAGGAGCTGGATTTCCCCCCAGCAGGTAAGTAACTTGCCATGCTTCCAGCAGCCAATTCAAGATTTAAAAACAGATCATCCACTTTCCCATAAAGGATTGCTCATTTCTTATTAGGTTGTTTCATTTAATAAAAAAAAAAAAAAAAAAAAAAAAAAAAAAAAAAAAAAAAAAAAAAAAAAAAAAAAAAAAAAAAAAAAAAAAAAAAAAAAAAGCACAACAGCTGCAGGTCTTTCTATCAGAATGGATCTGCTCAGTTCTGACATTAAAAGTTTTTAATTTCAGGTTCTCTATGCTGTGCTTTCATTTAAGTTTTCTTATTTTGCATTAGGCACAAAAGTCCTCAATCTATGGGATAATTTTTATTATTATTATTATTATTATTATTATTATTATACAAACCACAGACCTCAATACATCAAGATCTCCACAATCTACATCCCAAAGTTATTTTATTATTAATACTCTGCCACAACAGGTTATGTTAACCCTTCTACCTCTTCAGATCCACCTGTTCCATTCAACTTACCATCCCTCTCTTCCCAAAATTTTTAGAACTGTGATCTTTTAGAAAATTTAGACTACTGCAGAGAAAAAAAAGGGGCTTCCCAAATCCTGTTTCTTAGCAAAACAAAATGTTTTGGGTGAACATACTATTTATTTCCACCTAGAACTAAACATTTGGGCTTTAGATGTAACTTTTATCAAATTTTCAACAAAATACTCCTATGAAAAAAGGAAAAGAAAAAAAATGTTTACAAATACCAGAGGGGAAAAAATAAATCTTTTTTTTTTTTTTTTCCCAGCAGGACAATGAGTTTGGCTGAAGCTCACAAGTGATTTTCATCTGGAAAACATTTCACTCAAAGTTGTTTTCTACCTCTTGTCACTACATAAGCAGAGAAAGTACATCAAAACACGCTTAGTATTTTCAGAGTGACTCTTGAGAGCTCAGGTATTTTTAATTCACTGTGGGAGTCACAAGAGCTGACAATTTTTCTTCTGCATCTGCAAGACTGACCTTTACAACAAGCTCACCGTGGGGCTTCCAGCGCCCGGTGCCCACGTCCACGCACACCTGGGCACCACCTTCTCTTAGCTCTAAACAAACCTGCCTCAGGTGCCTCTGAAGCATCAATAACTCCTTACTGTCAGCTGGAATCATCGAGTCAAATTAAATTTTTATGACTTCAAATGCACAGCCCCAAAGACCAACAGCACAACACACCTCAGAACCGAAGACAGACAGCAACGAAGGCTCTAATTTGACTTAAGAAAACAACTCTACCTTTCAAAGCTTGTTCAAAAATCTGATAAGTAACAGTGAATTGGGGAAAGACATTGGTGTTTATTTCCTCTTCATTTCATATGTTTGACATTACAAAAAAAAAGAGTCTTTAGAAATAAAGTGTCATATTGCACTGCCCCAGCACTCAGCCTCCCATCCCAGCAGCCAGGCAAGAAGCTGCTGTTGATCCCACCAGAAGGACAGGAGCCCTCCTGGAATAATTGCTTCATTACCTTCTACAGAACTATAATTAAAAAACAAATAACCAAAATACCAAAGAACCTCAAAAAAAAAAAAAAAAAAAAAAAAAGGGAAATAAATTATTTTTCCATCAAAATGAATCGCTCTCTCGCTCAGTCACAGAAGGCCAAACCTCAAAGGGATCCTGGGCACTGAACCCTCTGGTTCAGCTGGGTATTTTTGATTAAGTGCTTTAAGTAAACATTTCCCAATTTGACAGTTTTTCCATTTCACTGAACGTTCTCTGTTGTTGTGTGTTGTGCTACAAAATAAGCACCCAAAGCACCACGTTTGGGTTTGTGCAGCTGTATCACACCATCTCCTTCCTACCCATCACCTCCCTATCACTGAGAGTCTATCAGTGTGTCTCCACACGTTTCCAAGCCTTGTGCACACCTGGTTTTGCACATTCAAGCCCTGCATGTATCCAGCCTGACCAAAGGACAGAAATAATTCACTAAATGGACCAAGGAAATTACAAACAGGTCAACCAGAGCGTGGACTTCTGGCTCAGTATATCCTGAAAGTGTGCCCTTTGCCTTCAAAAATGAAAAGAAAATTATGAATTATTTTGAAGGAAGCAACAGTAGGATGATGATATGATGACATCATGGTCCAGTAAATATTTTACTCTTGGATTAGAAGTATTGAGGAGTCCAGAATTATACTCTAGAGTCACTCTGGTGCTTAACTGCAACAGGTATGAAGATTATTAACTTACAGAGATTAAACTCCTCTATTTGTCAGTTACAAAAAAAAAAAAAAAAATCATAACAGAAGACATTATCAGGCATTTTTAATTCATTACTGAGCTAAAACAGAATGAAGAACAGGCAATCACTCCATCCTTAAACACAAGAATTATCTAGTAGATAAGAGAATATATCCTTATCCTACCTGTTTTCCAGACAAATTGGTGACCTCTCCTGGCTTCCAGATCAGCTGTTTGTAACATTAAGAAAACAAACAAAAGGAAGGGCTTCCCCAGGCTCTGCCATGCCCAATGAGGAGAAACCCAGTTCTGTTGTAGAAGCATAATTCAGATAATTCAGTCTCTTGTCTTCTTTGGTCCTAGAATTAACAAAAAAAAAAAAAAAAAAAAAAAGAGAGAAAGCTTGCTAAAATATTTAAAACACCCAGGCAACAGGCTCAGCCTAAGGGTAACCTGCTGGCCACTGTGCATTTCACAGTCCCTGTGTGCCAGATTTGATGAGGACAAGTCTGGTACAGCTGCTTTGCTTGGAGAGAGAAAGAGGGGAAAAAAGAAGGGAGGGAAGAGAGAGGAAGAGCCAGGTCCCAGAGGACCTGCAGACCCACCCTACAAGAGCCACTGTAAACGCTTTAGCAGGTTCTTAAGAAGAAATCTACCAGTGCAAATAAATGGCAAGGGATCCAGGAACAGTGTGGGGTATGTTCCTTTTCTCTGCTTAACTTTAGCATGAATATTACCATGACATAGGCAGAGAAAACCAAAGGGAGAACGGGTTCCAGGTGCAAAATTCAGCTCCCAGTACAGACCCCATGTCCTACATTTCAGATCCCTGACAACCAAAACAACAGACCTGGAATTGTTTTAGCTCTGTGTAAAGATGGGATACACAAGAGCACCATCAGAAAGGCAGCAGGAAAAGCAGGATAGCAGGGGTCGCTTTTTAGCACATGATGAACCACCTAGAAAGGGAAAACTGGACACTATGTAGGCATTTCCAAGGAATCTGAGACTCTCATTCAAGTCCCTGATCTCTGAGCCCCAGATCAGCAGCCAGTTACTCCAGAGAGGTCTCTCTGACTAAGGGATTTTAATTAAGCTCTCCAGCACTTCAGATGAATACCAGAGGCACGTTGTGAATGAGACAGGAATGGATCAAGTTCTGCTGCTGCAGCAGTTTTACACCACACAATTCATTAATATAATCACTGTGTGGTGCTGGAAGCAAGGAGGAATGTCTCTCTTGGTCTCCCACACAAAGCAGGAGACCAACTTCTAAATGCCTGCTTCAGCAAACATCCACCCTGTTAGTACACCACAGAAAAGCTCCCAATGAGACATTAAAAAGGCATAGAACAAAGTAAAATCTTAACAATTCTAGTTCGGTCTGGTAATTCAAATCTCTGTTTCTCTCATCCCAGAAGATGACCAACTAAACACTTATTTAGGCAGATTTTACCTGAATTTTCAGGTATTTTGGACTCATCCACATTCAAGAAGGAACAATTTGGAAGTCTCAAAAAAGTGTTCATGGTACTTCCACATGAAAAAGGTTTTGATGTAAATTTACATATTAATTTTTCTGATGTAATAGCTTTTGCATTTATACTATGCTTAAATTCTCAACATAGTTCTATTTATTAGTGATTAACCTTACTGTTATAGGTAAAAATGTCACATCCATGCTTGCATAAGGAGAGAGATAACGCCTGTCTTCAAGATTTGCCTTCATTGGCATACTCTTGGGGATTTTCATTAAAATAATTATTAGTTTTTTACGAGCTTAGTCCAGAAAATTCCATTACATTCCTAACCTTATGAAAAGCAACATTGTCATAGTACATAATACACAGCATCGTTCTTGATAAGAAACTGAAGATAAATCTGAAAACTGCACATACTGAATACACAGTAAAGCTTTTAATTTCAAGCAGTATTCAGATTATTTTGAAACAGCTTTTATCATGATAAATTCATGCAATTATGTTTAATCAGATATTGACTAACTACAGTGGCAGATACAATGTAGGATCTGTTATCTGGTTTAGCTCATTCTTGTGTTTCAGATGAACAGCACCTCATGTGAGACCTGAAAACCCCACCAAGCTGTCCAAACGCAGTAATGTGGGCAAGGGACCAACTAAACTTTCCTCATGTCTTCTGGGTTAATTTTATTCAGAAATCACATTCAATTCACAATTCACTGAGTCCCAACACCCAGGCAATGTAACACAGACCACAAGTGGCCTTGTAAGAAGCACAAGACATCTTGAGCATCCTTCAGACGTGCAGTGCAGCAGGGAAGTCCCGGGGTGGGGGGTTAAGAAGGGTTTTTTATGCCCATCTTACAGCTGCTCACCTCACACAGAAGAGCTGAGGAGGAGCAACTCGCCCAGTGCCTTCAGCATCGCAGTCACCATCTATGACGGCGGGAAAACAGAGTCACCGACTTCCTGCCGAAGGAAAGAGAAGGAATCAGGGACACTGGCTCCAACACTGCTCACACACACAAACACCCAACGAGGAAAGGAATTATTCAGCTGCTCAGATTCAAGTTGTGGAGGGGAGCCAGCTCTGCCCTGCCCAGCCCTGCACAGACAACGCTCATCTGACTTGCGGGGCGGCTCTCCAGGTCCAAAAAACGCCACTAAACCAACACAACTTAAAACAGGCAGGGGCGTGGAATGGGTGAGTCCAAGGAAACTCAGATAAGAGCTGATAAAGATGCTGAGATTTTTAATGAAGCACCAGTAGTGCTGCCTTCATCTCAGCATCCAAAGGGTCAGCGAACAGCGGCACGTCCCTGGGAGAAGCTGCCTCCTGCCCAAAGCAAGGGGCTTCACGTATGTTCATTCTTTGGGCAGGACTACCAAGATAACTGGCTGCTGCTCCCCACGGAGCAAGAACACAGATTACATTAAGTCAGGAAAACCAGAAATAAATTAAGACACCATGACACTGATTGTAATCTCCCCCACCCCAGCAGAGCTCAACACAGTCCACTGATTTACACCCCAGCAAAGCACAATAAAAATTTGTCTGTATATCTGGGTTTGTGTAACACAATTTGGAACAGTGGCTGTTCTGTCCTGATATGATAAAAAATTATTGCACAGGCAACATATGCTATCTACAGAAACATGAATAAATTACATTATGAAGGCCACCAACACTTCACATCAAATTTAGTTACACTGTATCTCAGCTCCCAAATGTGTCAGCATGGCTAGCTGTAAACTGGCAAATACAAAAGAAAATGGAGAAAAAAAATTAAATTTACATTTTAAGAATTGACTTCACCGAGACTGGTCATGATTAAATTCATGCAATTGCTTAAATATCACAGAATCACGGAATGGTTTGAGTTGGAAGGGATCCTAATGACTATCTCATTTCAATGGCCCTGCCACAGGCAGGGACACCTTCCACTTAACCGGGTTGTCCCATCCAGCCTGGCCTTGAACAATTCCAGGGATGGGGCAGCCACAGCTTCTCTGATCAGCCTGTGCCAGGGCCTCACCACCCTCACAGGGACAAATTATTTACTAAATATGTTCAAGATTTGTGTTTTAGTCTGAAAAAAATATCTCCCTTTTCCAAAACTGATTATCTGGATTTATTCAATATCCTTCATAATACAGGCCTGGCCAGCTAATCGTCTGCACGAGTGGATTTTCATGAAATGAAATGATGAGCTGTTGTTCTTGATATCTGAAGGATCAGTCACAAGGCTCCCTGTCATTTTGTTGGGTTTGTATGGAACCTTGTTCAGAAAAACACAGATAACACACGGGAGCTGTGATGGCTGGGAACAGGCAGGCAGTCATGAAAAGGTTACGTATAAGTTTTCTAATTATCATAAAACTGCATTTACATCTTCTAACCCACTGCTAATTCTCTTAATGACAGGATTGAATAAAACTGTAGTTTTGAAAAGCAGACTTATTTTAGAAACCTATATTTCTGCTGAAAACATGGCGTTCTACTGTCAAAATATTATAAATAAATAAATATGCCTATAGCTGACATGTATCTTATTCGTGAAGTGTTCAAAATTTCATTTCATTTCCAATGTTAATGGAATATCCACCAGCCAAATCCCAGCATAACCCCTGTTTAGCCAGGGAAGGGAAAAAACCCTCTGGGAAACTTCTCCCATTTTCCAGCCACTGCTGAGCCCTCGGAGAAAGGTATTCCCAAGGGACAGGCACTGTGCTAGCCCAGGACACAATAAGAGTCCTCAAAAGCACCCAGCACTGAAAGATGGAAGGCTGGTGGTTCAGTCTGGACTCTTTACTCACAGGTACCGCGCTGTTAGAGAAGGGATAAGTTGCTCTTTCCCAAAATTTCCATTGGACAAGAGGTTTCTCCAGCCCTTCTCCACCTTTTCTGTGGCTTAGGAAAGTCCAGCCTGGCTGTGCTCCAGCGTGGATTTACAAAGTATTTAATACTGAATTTAGAAAAAGATCAGCTTGAACTGATCCAAAGCTGAGACATGATTTCAGCCTTGTCATACATCAATTCAATTCCCCCTGACTTCACTGGGAGTTGTGACCTTCCCAGTCACGGGCGAATCTGACCCACTTTCTGCTGTGAGGTGGGAACGCTGACAAGGACACCTGGGCAGCACCTCCGTTTAAAATGATGATGCAATTAGAATAATCCCAAACACCTTAAATAGCAACAACAGCAAAAAGGCAGCAATTGCAGATCATATGCATGGCTATAACTCATTTGGCAGGTGTCTAGCACAAAGATAAGCATCATTAATCGTGAATAAATTTTCTTAATACAAATGTAAGCAGTAATTATGCAACTGTTTGCCTACTACAGACAGCGCAAACCCATTGCATGTGATAGTCCAAGATAATCTGGATGTTTATATCATACTCTTTCTCCTCAGAGACCAGTAAAACCTGCCTTGCCTTCTCAGAAAGCTGTTATCCAAAAAGCTAATTCTGTTCTGTCCTAAAGCAGCAGAATGCCTGGCCTGCAGCAGCAAAGGCTGATCATCACACACAGGCACTGCTGACCATCCCTGGGGGAGAGACTTCCAAAAAAACACTAATGCTACTGCTACAGGCATTGAGTTTAATAACATTAAAGTGTCTGGGCAGTCACATATGTCAAACCAGAAACAGACCTTCAAATATACGTGCATATGTGTCCAGTCTTTTATTTAATGATGAATACAGTTACACTAATTTGCCCTTACTTCCAGACCTAAAATAAACTCTATACATTATTCCACTTACAGATTTGGAGGGAGAGAGTCTTCTGGTTAAAGCAAAGGCACCCTAAATTCATTCTGCTTCCAACTCTGCCAGAAATCTCCTGAGCAAAAAGCCGTTTAAGGTCACGCTCAGACACTAATACTTGATTCTGCAAGTGATTTCAGAGAGTGACTTTGCATATATGAGAATGGCAGCTTGATTTTCTATACCCCTACTTTGTCACCTCCAAACCTAAACTGAGAATATTTACTCTTCTTCCAGGAGCATTTTAGGAAATGCTGGATAAAAGCACACAAGTGTGAAGGAGCAAAATTTATACTTGGGTTAACAAGTCCCTGACAGTATTTTTGTCCTAAGTGGTCACTCATTGGGAATCCTAAAATTACCCTCCACAGTTCTTTGGTAATTTGCTACAATAATTGTAAGTGTAAATAATGAAAGGACATCTGATGTTAACACATCTGCCTACAGAAGATAACTCCAAACAATGAGCAGACTCCAAACCAGCCTCTTTGGGCTGGGAGAGAGCCTGCACAACCTCCACTTCTACAACACTGCTTCATTTTCATGTATAAACTTCAACAACCTCCCTCAACACTATTGCTGGAAAGCTCAGCAAGTTGTCACCATCTTTACCAGTTATATTTGAAAGTTTGGGCACTTTAGTGATGTTTACAGTCAAAAAGTAAGAATCCATTAATTATTTAATCTTTTCAATTCAGTTGTATCCAACTCTTGTCCCAAAGCTATGGATGATCCTGGGGGTGAAAAGCAAGAATATGAAACTACTCTACTGCCAATGAAATGATCCTGAATTTACGTCAATTTGTTTGGGGTAAAAACCACGAATCCCAAGCTCTCCTGCTTCAGTCTTTGTACAGCCTAAAAATGTAACAAAAGCAGGTTTGAATTTAGAAGTTTAATTATAAACTTAGCTAAGTGGATTATAATGAAAGATGTTCCAGCAAGGGAGCTCAGACTGATGCATTATGACTACATTAAAGAAAACACCAGAGAATAGACTTTCCATCAGTAGAACGACTTTAATTACGACAGTGCTAGAGCAGAACTGCTCTGTGAAACGATGCTGCTGCTCCATCTCCTCCTCCCTGAGCACTTCCAGTAGCCTCCATGGGAACACACTTGACTTCCAGTAACAGAAAGTGTGTGTGATTGCAGACTCTTCCGAGGAATCCAGTTCAGGGGGTCAGTCAAAGGCAGCTGAAGCAACACTTGCTTTGTTTGCACACAAACAGGGATGGCTCAGGCTCTGCCAGAAGGGCAGGGAGACTTCAAAGTCTCAAGGATTCAGGAGCTGGTGAAAGGCACCATCCTGGCACTCCTCAGCTCACAGCCCCACAGTCTCTACATCCCCCAGGGCCACTCAGAGCAGAATGAAGGATGCTCAGCAACCAAGGAGCCCTCCAACATCTCCCTCTACAAACAGCACTCAGGGTGACCCGCTGTGCAAGCGCCCAAGCCTTGGACTTCTCAGTGGTATTTAACAGCCACAGGCCTTTTGGTGCTTTCGGTGGTGTATCTTAGCACTCAAAGTAGGGTAATTTACCTTCACAGATGTTCCTCAGGCGATTATCATACCCCTTGCAGCAGGAACAAGTACAGAGCAATTAAGATCAAAATGCTCAAGACTGTCAATAGGCTTCTCTCCTGAACTCAGGCATTGATTTTTTTCCGAGCAGCAGAACACAAGAGGTGTCCAACAACTTTTAAGTAACCTTTTCAGGCTGCTCGTGCACTTTTATATATTTAATTAAATACAGAAAAGGCTGCAGAGACTCAAACCAAACATCTCAGCAACGAACCAACGGTCGTCTAATAAATTTATGGAGCCACATTTTTAACCTACAGAAGTTGTGGAGGTTATTTTATATAGGTTGTGTACACAGCCTCTCTACACTACAGCTGGATGCCTCCTGCCAGCCCTCTCAGCCAGCACAGCAGAACACAGCCCAGAATAAGCCCAGTAATGTCTTCACGCTATGGCACATCCTTCCTGTAACAACAAAACTTTTACAGCTTTGAGGGGAAAAAAAGTTTCTTTTTGTTTATTTTTCAATGGATACAGAAGAGTTTGAGCCTATTATCAATATACTGCTCTGCTGTAGCTTTTGTGATTGGCAATGGATGAGCTGAAGGTCCTCTGAAACTCAGCTGTATCTGAGAACTGCTGTCACAGTTGCACAGATCTTGGATTACTG